TCGGTAGGGTATGCAGGCACCAACCGCTCGCAAAACATCGACAAGAATTGATTTAGTTTGAAGTTTTCTCAACCACTGAAGAGCAGTCGGTGTTTCAAGTGTCACGACTGCGATATGCCCTGTTCCCATCTCAGTGGACTGATTTCTATAAATTCGAATACATACATATATGTAAAACATTTTACTGCTACCACTGATTTGAATTTGTAAACAAAAATAAAATGTATGCTGAAATATTAAAAAAATATATTATAACATATGATATTAATATTTATATCATAACCCAATAGTAAATACGCCCATATTCTTAGGGTACCAAGTTTGAAAAGTGGCAAAAGACAAAATATTCTTGATGCGCCGAAATGAAATAAACGCACACATGCTCCCGTGTATGAGAATGCATGATCACGCATACATACAAAGACGAATTCAAGCGCAGGGCAGCCTTCTTCAAAAAGCGCCTCTCTGCGACTGAACGACTGAACTCGTGCAATGAGTGCGCGAGCATAAAAATGAGAATAAGAATGAGAGAGTATAAAACCCGATCGCACACGAAGTGCATGGACCTGCTGCTGTGAGAACGGTGGACCTTCCGCGGTCCGTTTTTTTGTGTCCAAATGCGTCGTATGAAATGACCAGTCTATGTGTTGTATGGTTAGTGGTTATATTCACGCCTCTCACAGCCAAACAAAAAAGGGCATTCACTTGAACAAAAAAAAAACGATAATCGAAAAAATGTTGCTCGCGAAATTTTAAAAGTCAGTACTTTTTGAACACACTTCGTATATTATAACGAAAAGGGACTAACGGTCATTCGAGACAGCTTAACTGTATATAGAAGGTCTGTGGCGGTCAAACTATTAGTGTCAGTGTGTTAGTGGTTCAGTTTTTATTTGTCTTCATAAAAATATGGAATCCTATCCGAAAACGAGTAAAAATCTGCGAGTGAGCGTAGTAGCCACGGAAGCGCAAATTCCAAGCCAATCATTTTTTGGTTGTTACATCGAATCATGGAGAAGCTAATACGATCCGCAGTCAGCAGAAATTGACATCTGCGACTACGAACGACATTATAGTTTCATTGTTACCGCATAATTGAGTTTGTGTGTGTTTTTGTCAATTTCGGAGTTAGCGATTTGCAATTTGTGTAAGCAAAGAATAACGTTCGCCGAAAAAAGTCATCGAGATATAGGATTTAAAATTATTTTGTCGTCTCGCTTCGGTAAACGAGAAATCCAATCCGGGCCGTTGATTCACACCTGCTATGAATTGTGTTCGTCATGAGGCTTTTGGGTGTGGTCTAATAGATTTGTCTGAAGGCATAGTCTTAGCAAAATCGACGTATGACAAAATCGCGTAACATGTGTATATAAACGATATTTGAAAATGCGTGCGGGTGATGGATCGTGGAAGAAACGTGGATTCACTTCTCTGTATGGTGTAACTACACTTATTGGCTACTACAGTGGCAAAGTGATGGATCTCGATGTTTAAAGCGGACAAGAAAAATACCTTGAACGACGACGAGTATGATGAATGGTATGAAACTCATAAAGTTGTTCTTCGAATCACGCAGGCTCCGCCGGAAAGATGAAAGTTGATTCGATCAACGAATGGTTCTCAAGATCCATCGTGAAATTTGGAGTAATGTAAAGCAACTATATTTGCGACGACCACTCCAAAACATTTCTTGGCATCGTGAAGAATAATCCATACGGCGACAAGTATGCAGTGATCAAAAACAAGTTCGTGGGACACGTACAAACGCGCATGGGTACTCGTCTCCAAAAGAAGAGAAAAGAACAAAAACTCGGTGGAAAAAAGCGGCTCACAGAGACTGTAATAAAAAAACTAACAATGTATTACGGTCTCGCGATTCGAAGAAATTGAAACTCTGTAGAAGGTATGAGAAGTGCAATAATGGCAACATTATAAATTGCCTCGACAATATAGAAAAACATTTTCGTCCTATATATGAAGAATTATCAAAGGACGATTTATTAAAAACGGTGCTTGGGTGGACACACGCAGAATGCAAACGAGTCATTCTGACGCCCAAACAACTTCATTCAGGGGTTAAAATAGTTGAGACTGCTTTCATCGCTGGTGGGATGTTTAATAAAGGCTACAATCTAGTATTAAAGATTATGAATTTATTAGACTTAAAAATTGCGCTCCAGTGCAAACATTTTTGCGATAAACTGGACGGGCATCGCATCACGCGTCACAACAGGCGCTTCATTGGTACCCAAAGAGGTCAGAACAGCCCGACAAATGGAGCAATTGTCCGGAAACAAATTTTTTGAAGCGCCCGAAGGACAGTTATATGGAGCAGGAATCGGTGATTAGCTTAATAAAAGGGTAATTCAAGAAATTTACAATTTTTTGTCAACGAAAACTTTTAAACACAATTTCACGGATTTCCATGTTTAAGATTTTTTCAAATTGGTGGGAAAGATAGAAAAAAAAGTTAGCATAGGACGAAACGAATGAAAATGCATTGTATTTGGAATTAAATTCTCTTCTAGGTGAACCTAAAATACCTTAAGAAAGTAAATTAAAGTAATTTTTTTTTTCACTTTTTGTTGAATTTTCTTGGTTCACCTAGGAATTACACTATTGAATAGATGAATATTGCGACCTGTATCTTGCTCGCCACACAGAAATTGCTCGCTCGAGGCGCCTCCTTAAATTTCTTCAAACATGAAGAATATCTAATGTATAATAATGAAAAAAATTGAGAAAACTCTTCAAATATATAAGAATAAATCCTAAAAGTTTAATTTCAATCAAACATTTCTTTCCTTTCCAAAAAAAATCCTTGAAAATATAGATTTTTTGAAGCCTCTATAGCAGGCTCCCCGCTTAACTGACGGCAGAAAAACCGAAATTAAATGGTAAGACTATCGCTACAGACGGTCAAGGAACGAAAGTTAAACAACTCGCAGGTTCAGTACCTTCATTCAGAAGTGAAGGAACTGTAGAATTATCCCTGAGGTGTGGATCCGCCATCGTCCTATTGTGACTTATATTAGGACTGACCACAGAATTTATTCAAAGGCGTCGACCAACAGAAGACATAGCTGCTTCCACAAAAGCACATTAGAAAACATTTCCTTCTGGATCTAAACTCTTTTATGTTGCGACCGAGGACAGTCGCGTTTAAGGAGGGAATTAACTATTCCCAGAACGCTGATACGCAAGTACAACTCATAATATTAGCGCAGAAATCATTAGAAAAACAATCAGAAGCATGTGCCCGAAAGTATTGAAATACCCTGAATACATAACAACCAAACCGAAGCCGTGCTCAGCGATCTTGAAGTTTTTCTGCTAACGATCGTCGGGAACCTAAAAAACACGATTTTAATCGGTGAATAAACCACATCAGCAAGTACATCCACCAACTATGATAATTGAAAAATTGCATCAGCCAATTATAATAAAGAATGGTACACTGCAACAGAGTAGTTGTTATTTTAAATCGTTTATCTTTATCTTTAACAAAGCTCTATATAATAAAGTTTATTTTTGTAATACAAAATTCCGAACTAAATGTTAACTTATATAAGTTAACACACACAGTTCACATAAAGAGAAACTGCCGAATTGCAGGCCGTATCCGGTGGCCCACATGCCCAACAATACAACCGCTGACAACTGCCCGGACCCGGCCAGAACACTTGCGCAACTAGTTAGCGTTTGCGGCTGGTTATCAAGTGCTGACTCGGCACCTTGGCGACTGCGCTGCGGCCAAACGAAGACCTCAAGCTGCAGGCGGATCAAACTAATAAGTTAGTCTTCATTCGTATTCCACAGTCTTAGCTGTGCCAATATAAATTGTTACCAAACTTACTATATGTAAAATAGCCATTGCCTGTGCGCAAAAATTTAAAAATATAGAGGTGCAACCAAAGTGCAACCAGCTAAATAAAAGTGAAATCAATAAAGTGCATCAAATATTTGCAAAGAAAAAGGCAAAATTTGGAAATAAAGGTGAAGCAATAAATTTGAAAAATAAAATAAAATCAAAGTACAACCAGCAGCGAAATCAATAAAGTGCATCCAAAATTCTGTAAAAACAGCAGCAAAAAATTAGAAACAAAGTGCAGCAAAATAAAAGTATCCAACCAAAGATCACTAAACATAACATTTAAAACAAGTGCCCTAAAAGCCCGCTCCCCTTAAAAGCAATCGTCGGTAGGGTATGCAGGCACCAACCGCTCGCAAAACATCGAGCTTAAAAAAAAATTGTGGTGGTTAATAAGTTAAGGAGAAATAAATGCAAAAGAAATGAAGTCGATACTACAGCCGAACATATAAAATTTCATTCAAAGGGTATTTTATGGTATGTGTGGTATTTCTAAAATTTTTGTAATATAACTAAAAAAAATATATATTTTCTTTTACAAAACCCAGATACCCGTGTTTACTTATTGGGTTTTATTTTAAATAGGCCCTTTTGTGTTCGTTTAAAATTACGTATTTAATCCAAGTTAAATTAAAAGGGGTTTTTGATTTAATTAGAGCTTGATTTTATGAATTGTTTGTGCGAAATGTGTTTCGGTGTTTTCTCCTGTATATGTATATCGCCTAAATTGTTCAGTTCAACTGCGAGGCCCTGTACTACTATTCGCCCGGTTTATGGCATGTGTACATCAAAAAGAAAAGTAAAGTAAGCTCCCTAATGTTCCGTTTATCGCCTTCTCATTGATGAATCAACGGAAAATATGCATCACCTGTATATGATCTGCGTTTGCTACGTTTGTCGATTGAGAAATTGTAATGCATTTCGGAACTGCAAAGGTGATACAAATTAAGATGTACATACATATGTACATATATGTATACATATGTGCATATATGCAAACGTTTAAGTACATATATGCAAACGTTTAAGTACATATATCAGTAAATTTAGTTAAAACGATATAAATTGACGATTAAATTATCTCGGCGATATAATTAGTTTTTGATATATATAATTAGCCAGAATTTACCTTTTTTCTTCTTGCTTGGACCTTTGGTATTAACAAGAGTAGTAACTTGAAGTACAAGAGGTTCTAGAGTTTTTTCAACTGACATTGTACGAATCTCCAAATTTTTTGGGTCCCATTTTAAAGCTATTTGTCCGAAATCGGTTAACGTTCCCATTTTTAGGGGTATAATTATAAAATTCACTTATTTCCCAAAAAATGCTTTGCGTATCACTTAGTGTATATTGACGACGCCTTTTTCGATAACTGATACTTATGGGAGGTTTGGAAGAACGAGCGGTGAGCAATTAGATTATACCATATTTCCACAGAAGCACATACATTAGTCATATATTTTAGTATTTTTATATAGCCTAATAACGTATTTCCACCATCCGTTGAAGGGATGGTCCATTAGGTTTTGCATCTCAAAAACTTCCCAGTTGGTCCGCCGTTCATATTTGACGGACTTTAACGGACTTTGACGGACTAATTTATGCGATAGTTAGACGATGTTTCTGCGATGCAACCCTCTTTCCACGCAGTCCATCCCTACAAAATCCGTTGTGATTTTTGAAAACAGTGAAACTCCGGTTTCTACAGAGCACATTCACCTTCCGATTTCAGCTGATCTTAACAGCTGTAGCTCATCAAAACATAAACAAAGATGGTTGACCTGTTGAGATTGCTTACGTTTTAACGAGCCGCAGCTGTTTAGATCAGCTAAAATCGGAAGATGGAAGGTGGATGTGCTCTGTGGAAATCTTAGTTTCACATATGTTGAAAATTCCAACCGTTTCCAACGGATAGACCACTTATTCGGCAACGGAATCAGGTTATAATGATGTTTAACATAGTAAACGTGGTATATTTTGATCACTAAAATAAGGTCCTTTTAAATTAATATTTACATTATTTTTGGGGGAATAATAAGAAAACTGTGAAAAAGTAAATAGCCTGACTCCATTTCCGCATTAGTGGACTTTTTAAATGTGCCTGATTTCATTGGCGCATAAGCTCTTAGCTAATGCTTCTCCAAAATGTTAGTGACACGATCAGCTGATCTGGGTTTGTTTACTTTGAATTTTGGCAAATCCAAAAGAAATTTATTAAAATTAATGAATATGAGTGAGCTTACTCAAATCTTTAATGCTCAACAAGAAATCCATAATGCGACCGAGGCATTTGCCAACGTGGACGTCAAGGAAGATAAGCTGATGGTGTTGTTTAACGGGTTTGCAAAGGAGACCACCACAGTTTCTAAAAAGGACAAGGATCCCCGTATGTGTGGGAGTTATTTCCTGTCAGAGATCCAGCAGTAATGCATTGTGGTACTGCGAGTAGAATTTGCAGCGTGCGCTCTAGTTTTCAGTCATTTTTATACAAAATAGATTTTATATTCGAAAGAAATCAAAAAGTACGATAACCTTGTATATAGAAAACAGCTGTTGTAGTGATGGCACGAATAAAACATCTTTAAAGATCGGTGTTTTCAGGTATTTTTTCTAAAAACGTTCGGGGCAAATGATCTATTATCGCATTTATTTTAAATGCGGCATTAGGCCTTATGGGATTTCCTGTGTAAAAAAATGCGTATTAGATTAAATGCGTTTTAATGCGCCAATGGAATCAGGTTTTAAGACCCCAATTCACTGTCACCATAGTTTCCCCAAAACTAATACTGTTATGTGTATTGGCTTACATACGAATCTTCATTGACGGTAGACGGTAAACGATGGCCGGAGCCTTATGTGAATTAGAGTTTCACTTTTTCACCACCTTCTCATCGTACCCCCAAGAATACTGTAACGTCATTTCGCTACCGGAGCTTTACTTTTTACCGCGTTCTCATTGATCCTCCAAAAAATACTGTAACTTAAAAAGGCTATAATAATGGTCTGAGACTACACTAAAAATACTCGGTGAAACAGCTTGGGATATGAATTTTATTTGCACCATCATTGATGATAGATGGTAGTCAACGTACGGTGTTCCTACCTTAAGCTGTTTTCCGAAAATTTTTAATATATTTTGAGCCCATCACCTACTTAACTGTCCTTCAAAATTGAAATGCCGGTCATTGGAACAGGTTAATAAGATTTTAACACATAACGAAAAATTGAGTTAAATGCTAATGTTATTTTGCATACATATATATTGCGAGTCGCATTGACCAATTATTTTAACACCGTAAAATGGTGTAGGAACGAGAATGGTTTTAGCGATTAGCAGCTTTATAATTTTGTATCGGAAAGTTTACATAGCACGCCATATGTTCGTCCGGTAAATGTTCTTAAGTGCTTGCTATAAGAAAATGTGTTACTAAATGCAATACCCAAATTTGCTGCGTGTTCTACGTATTTGATAGGTGTAGAGTTGAAGTAACAACAGTTCTTTTGACGATGACAATACATTTAGATTTTGCCTATTCCTAAGCTATTCAATTCCTTCCATTTATATTTCATGGAGGGATTGTTGTTAAATAGCTCAAAGAAGTTGGGTCGACTAAAATCGAATTAAAGAAATTTGAAAAACGGAATCGTTTGCCCATTTTTTGCCCACTTTTGTCCACCAATTAGTTTTTTTGCCCACCTCCAGTTTTGAAAATATGGGAAGTTCGAAAATTTTCGATTTTCGAAAACATAAAAGTTGACTTTTATAAATTTGTTTTTTAATCGCAAGAGAATCGTTTGCCCACGTTTGCCCACCTTTTAGAATTTTGAAAAAGTAAAAAACTTTAGAAAATATAGAACCTTTAAATTTTCATAATTTTTTACCCAATAAAAAATCATTTTCCGAAGGCAAAAAACAATTTTTTCTTAAAATTTTAGAATCAAAAAATAATTTTAAATGTAGGGCAAACGAATTTATTTTAGATTCTGAAATTTTAAGAGGTGGGCAAACATGTGCAGTTTCTGTACCCTTGCAGAGGATATTATAATTTTAGTCAGATGTTTGCAACGCAGTGAAGGAGACGTTTCCGACCCTATAAAGTATATATACTCTTGATCAGTATCACTAGGCGAGTCGATCTAGCCATGTCCGTCTGTCCGTCCGTTTCTACGCAAACTAGTCTCTCAGTTTTTAAACTATCTGCTTGAAACTTTTTTAAAAGTTGTCTTTCTATTGCAGGTAGTATATAAGTCGGAACGAGCCGGATCGGACGAATATAGCATATAGCTCCCATAGGAACAATCGGAAAAATAAATGAAAAAAAATTATACCCTTGCTGTGTTTAGTTCTTCAACATTTAGAAATGGTTAAATATTTCAGAATTACGTTTTAAATTTCATCAAAATCGGACGACTATAGCATATAGCGCCCATAGGAACAATCGTAAAAATAAATGAAAAAAAATTATAACTTTGCTGTTTTTAAATTTACTGTTTAGTTCTTCGACATATATGTAGCAATGGTTAAATATTTCAGAATTATGGTTTAAATTTCATCAAAATCGGACGACAATATCATATAGCTCCCATGGAAACAATAAATGTTTTTTTTAATGTAACTTTTCTTTTTTGTAATTTTTTTTTTAGTTCTTATTTTCTTATTATTAATTTGACATAGGATATCTTAAATAACGTACAAGCCATTGGACAGAAGAAACTCTAGAGCTGCTTCTAGGCACTCACCTCCCCTTTAACCCCCAAGAAGCAACAACTTAAGTAATTTAGACCCTCTCGACGAGAAAGAAATCCTAGAATTATCAAGCCCAGAGCGCATAAAATGGGCTATAAGTACGTAATTTTATTACTTGATCTTGAAGATGGAACAATCACGAACCTAACACTCATTATGTCAAAATCAAACTTTTACTAGCAACTATACAAATAAACCTATCCTTATAACTATTTGAGGTTGAAGAATTATTTATTTATAGTGAATTGAGCTATCGATGACCAAAATCGGCTTAGCAGAATTGGAGATAAAATATTACTGTCATGAAAACAGGTGAGAAACGTTATTAAAATCGTACTGTACAAAAAACTTGGAGTGTCATTCTTTTAATCAGGCAGGCCCTTCACTGGAAAATTATGATTTGATTTCTGGAGGATTTCATTGATTAAAATTTGTTAACAATTGTAACACACTACCATTCAGTTAGTTGTATTTTAATAGCCGGAGTTCATTGGCGCATCAAAACGCATTCAGCCTAATGCGGATTTATTTGCACAGGGAAACCCATAAAATTTAGCGTTATTATTTAAAATAAATGGAATTAAAAATCATTCGCACCTAACGTTTTTTAAAAAAATTCTGTGGTACTGCGACCACAATGCATTACTGCTGGATTAGCTAAATGCCTATGCGCCATTGGAATCAGGAATTAAAAAGTCCACTAATGAGGCATAATGATAGTTTGGAAATACAGCTATGAAAAGCGATGAAAACGATTTTTTTTAAGTTACAACAATTTAAACATATAAAAACGTCAAGAAATTTTCACCGAAATTAACATTTTTTTTTAAATGTCTGTCTAAAATAAAATTTTTAATATTTTTTTCCGGATGGTGGACGGTGGATGGATCACTATGGAAAAGGGCTATTAAAAAGCGGAAAATAATGGTACTAGCGACACACTATTAAAATTAAAAATAATATTCATTTGGACTTTATGTGGCATTTTCAGTCGAACTTGCCTGCTGTGATACCAAAACATAGATATATATCGATGGCACTATCGATAAAGTTCGGTGCCGACACCTACAACTGATGTTTCCACAAATCTAGCTATTTAAACTTAGCCGGGCTAAGTTAGCCCGGTTCGCTTTTTTAAACTAAAATAAAGTGGTAAATAATTCTAAAAAGACTTTATTAAATAGAACCACCGGGGACCCTATATAGAGGGCCCCGGGAGTTTTGAGTGCGTGCGGAACATACTTACCTGGTAGTCCTAACCTCGTCGAGCAACCTAGTCGTCTCGCCTGCCACAACCTGGTCGTCGTGCAACAACAAACTTACCGACGAACTCGCAGAAACAAACAAATCGCAACAACAGTCCCTGGGTGTGTCCGTCCCGGAAACGAATGCCCGCGCCGGGTGGGTCCGGCGGCCACCGAGACTCTGCTGACGCACCACTTCGGGTCACCTGACGCTATACTTCAGAAGCACTTCCGGCCCTCGACGCACTGCCTCCGGCTGCTTTCGACCACTGACGTCCTACCTCTGCGCCGCGTCCCAGTGATCCCTCGCAGATGTTCTTTAGCATTTTCTGAAATTGAAGAATGCATTATAACTCATCATCGGTATCACTGTACAGAATTAGAATA